TGGGGATGCTCGAAGTAGATAATTGTTCTAGGGTAGGGGGTTTTCTATAACTGAAGAGAGACCCTCTCACGCAAGCTCCGTAAGGGGTAGCTCAGGAAGTAGTGTTGAGCCGTTAACTCCCAATAAACTTGAGTAAGCAAATCAAGTTTCAATATCAGCTTCCTACTCTCATTTTCGAAGCAGCCAAGTAAGTGAGCCTTCTGAAACCTCAAGCTTTCACATAAATCTGAGCTCCTGAATCTTAGGACCTTCTTGAAATCATTCGTAAATCAATCGAGATCTGCTTTAAATAGATTAAACACCACGCACAAGATCCTTATTGTTTTGCAGAGTCTTGAACTAGTGTTCTGTACTTCTACCTTTAGAGTAGTCTTGGACCCCCAAAATGGCCCAATGCAGTTTTTCTAAATCTATAGGAGGTCTTTTTCAGTGTTGAGCTCGGATTGCAGGGTGTAGGTCCCGAGGTTCCATTATGATTTGGGATCGAAGCCCAAGTCGATGGTGCAGGGTCTACGGGTTTAGGTTTTCGTTTGGGTGTAGGGTTTAGATTCAAAATCTGTACACTTTTCGTGGATTCAGGTTGTTGGGCGAAGGGTTCACGTTTAGGGCCCGGGATCTAGACAATTGGGTCCGGAAACACGAAGCGCAAATGGCTTTGTGGGAGAGGAAGAGTAAGGATAGCTTATCGCAAGCTGGTATGACCACAAACCAAAATCCCGAGCCCTAGAGCCCTACGACCTAGAATTCCTGCATATTCCTGCACAACACCCCACAGCCCCCAGCTACAAGCCCCGCACACCTCAAAACCCTAAGCTCTGCATAGCTCTTTAGGACATAGCTCTATAAATCTCATAAGCCCCAAGCAACGCGAGTCCTTAAAAACTCGTAAATAAGACCTTAACCTTAAGACTGAAATTAGCCCAGCAGCCTTGTATAGTATGGTTTTTGTGCCCAGAATCCTTACATTATGAGTCCGTAGAGCCTAAGGGTAAGCCTTTCGATCCTGAACCTCATCAGTTCCGTAGCTTAAGGAACTTCCAGCTCTTCACGCAGGCGGCAGCCAACAGCTTCTGAGTTGTTGAGCAAGTATTGCCATTTAGGGTGTGTGTTTTTTGTTGGGTTTAGGGATCTTAGGGTAACCCCAAACCATAAACTCTTTGGGTTTAGGGAGTGAATGTTTTATGACTTAGGGTTTCAGGCCTTCACCTTCACCTTGCTGGGTAGCACAGAGCCCGGTACACATCAAATAGTTAACAAACCCTAACCGCACCAAATGGCTAGCAAATCCTAAGCCCCCAACCCTCAACCCTATTCAGCGTAGTTTCCATTTTCTGTTCAATTCCTCCCTTTGATCCCTGCAAAACCTCAGTAGTCCAACAGGCAAACTTTAAACTTTTTGGGCATATTACGCCCCTTCTAAAGTAAAAGTTTAAACTTTTTGGGGCCTGGGGACTGGACAACTAAGAAAACACTAGCCCCCATACTCTCAAGGCCAATTCCAGGCCAGAAATCTTACAAAGCTTCAGAACTGGACACCCAAGGCTCTTTGGATTACGCACGGTTGGATCCAGGCCTGAGTGTAAGGTTTCTTTTTTAGGGTTTCAGGTTTTCCAGGTAGGAAAAGACCCAAGGTACAGCCAGGTTCTAACCTATATCCCACTTGTATTACTGAAATAGATAGCACTGGTTTTGCGTAATTTGCCGACTTGGTCGGGTTTGGTGCTTACTAGGGCTTAGGGTTCAGGATTTGATGGCTTTATAACCGTTGAAATGCGTTTTTAGCTAGGCTAGTCTTTAGGGCTTAGGGCTGCGGAGTTAGCTAGATTGGTACAATTACAGTAGGGTTTGCAGGTTTGTGTAAAGTAAGCGGCTAGACTATGGTGCGCGGCCACATTGCCAAACGGCTAGGGTATACAGTGTGTCTTATGGAGTGGTTCAAGAATACAGGCCCGCAAAAGATACTCACCCTAAACTTCAAGGCAGCCCATGCAACCTACATAGCATCTTCTACTCCCGAACATGGTAGGAGTCTTGTTTCCTGGGGTTCCTTCCCACCCCGGTCTCGCTTCACAAAGAGGCTGCGCAAGCGGTACTGCTCAAAGAGAGTCTCTTGCGAATATTTTGCGGCTCTCAGCATGTGCATTTTGTAGACCTTTCGCGCCAACTTCTTCGTACTTTGTAAACTTTAAGCCTTAGAGCCCATGTATTTAATGCAGCCGCTCCCAACCAGTGTAAGAGGCCCTGACGGCCCTAACATGTACAACATGTACACAGACGTGACAAGTATTTGTGCATACATAAGAATATGGATAACACCATCCCTTCTTGAATACATGTTCGCGTGTATATACACAAAATAGACTAACACATGCACACATACAAATGTTCACATATATATATATGTGTGTACATGTATGTAGATATGGACATGTACATACCGACACGTATGTGCGGATATAACATAGGCGCAGGCCTTCCCACAAACCTGGCCTGGAGGCTGCTGCTACATGTTCGAGCGTGTGCATCCGGATTTCAGGCCAGTCATCCTGTGAGTTTCAGGGATTGGGGTTTCGGGTTGATGGCCTGGGATTGAGAAAGAAAGGTTTAAGGCTTTGGAGGGCTTAGGGTTGGTGAGGGCTGAGAAAGGTTTGGGACTAAGGCTACTTATACGGTTTGTCGGCTTTTTGACAGGGCATGCCATGTGGGAAATAGCATGACGAACGTTTTAGCTTTCTAGCAGGTAGTAGAGCTGAAACCTTTGTCAGTGTTGAGTATTGAGGCCTCTAGTCTAGAGCAACCTTTACCAAGGATCGTTGCTGCTGGCTTTGCAGGAATGCCAAGGCAGATAGATTGAACGCTCCCTAAACACGCATGAAGCTTCACACGTCCGAAGGGGCAACAATTTTCCAAAGGGCGGCTGAAGCTGTTCACGCTCCTCCACATTTTCCATGGCCCTAAGGCTACCATACATAATCCCCAGTGTTTTGGCATGTGGGCTCCTGCAGGGTTTGTGCTTCATCAGAATTATGTTATTAGCTGCAAGGGACCAGATCATCTCTACAAGGACTGTACGAAGGCTTACATGGGGGTGGCTCTGAGGAAGCCGCGCATGCTCAAACGCACCCTCAATGCTAAAGCTCTGTAAGCTTCGTGAAGCCTCGTGTCACTACCTGAACCCTAAACCCTAAACAGTAGCTTCCATTTCATTTTCCATTATCCCAGGAGAACCCCAATATAACCCCATATAACAGCCCTACATAACCCCCTTAACCCATGAGTTGCTATCGGAGTGGCACGCCGCAAGGATAGTGCTGGACTATCCCAGACCGATGTTGTACCACATCGGCACGAGAAAGATGGACACTCTGGAGGAGGTCGACGTGTCTCTGCTGGTGTTGGAGTACGTAGTCGAGTCTGTTGAATCTATTCAGGCCAGGTTAGGGCACAGCGGAACGCTAAATATTTCTTGTACTGCTCGAGTACGTCCGGCAACAATTGTAATTTCGGGGGCTGTTGTACTACAAATGCCTTTACAAATAATGTTAGGTACCCCCTCTCAATCGTGTCGATGAGCGTGAGATTATCTTGCAGTTGATGGACAAACATCTGCATGACCCTAAGTATAATGAGCTGCTATAATTCCCAGTGTCTAGGTTTATAGGGTCATGCAGAATTTTCTCCATCAAACGGTATTTCACTTTCTACATGGAGGTAGCCAGTAGTGTTTTCAGGGAGACACCTAGAACGAATCCTGAAGTGTTTGGGTTCATGTTACAGATTTCTACCCCATTTACTGGAGAGAAGCATCGTGTCAGGACCCCGAAGGCCACCCATACTAAAAAGCAGCTTGGCAGATCCTTGAACCCTGAACCGTAAACCCTAAACCTCCCAACCTCAAACCCCTCAAACTCCGACAAGCCCTAAACTGACAACTCGGAACCCTGAAGAGAAGGGCATAAGACTGAAAAAACCCAGCAGGCCTCAGCCATATGGCCCCTAAACTCAACACCCCACAAAATTTGAATCCCCATCAGCCCTGAGCACTGTAAATCCTAGAGGTCCTCAGCCCCTGTTGGCTCTCTAAGGTTGACATCGGAGTGCCAAAGCCACGGAGGTGGGAGTCTTGCCTGTCCATTAGGAAAGCTGGAGCTCCATTTCGGCACTGCAAAGCAAATCCTAAATGAGCAAGAACAAAATCCCAGATATCTTAGACCGAAAGGCAACTTTTGAAGATCTTCACACACAGGCCCTGGCCCAGCAGGCCCAAGAACTTGAGATCAAAGGATGTACCACAAGTCACGCCGGGAAGCTGTTTCTGTTTGCGGTGTCTTCCTTGTTTGCAGGGGAAAAGCCGGTAACCTAACTCTATGTTTCACCCCAACCCTTGTACAGAACTACAGAACCCCCTGTGGTTCCTGGATTAGCTTGCGACTGGACACCCAACCTACTCAGTGGTAGTAGGGAAAGTACGAATGGATCTCTGTACTCTAAACCCTAAACCCTAATCCTTAAACTCTAAACCCTGTCCCCTAAATAAAAACTCCCAATAGTCTGGCAGTTTCCATGTTTCTTTCCACTTCTTCCCTACCCTGAGCCCTATAAGGGACTACATAGGGACCATATACGGGCTATATGGGCAGTCTATAGGGACTATATAGGAGTTACACATGGGCTATTTGGTGAGTCTCTGGAGACAATACCGGGGTTATATAGCTAAAAGGGAGTCTCCAGGGACTATATAGGGGTTATAGACCCTAGTCCCTAAACCCTAAATAGTTGTTTCTAGTTTCTTTTCCTTACTAACCAGCAGCAAGTAAACCTCTGAGCCCTCCGAACCTTACATACCCGAGTTTCCATGTCATTGGTTTCATTTGCTGCTTGCTTGTCTCCTTTCGATGTTTCCTTTGATTCTGCATTTTTCTACAATCCCGATTAGGGATCCGCCTAACCCTGTTTCCATTTCATGCCCTTGGTCTTTTCCATTCCCTCATGCCCCGCTAAAGGGCCATAGTGGGTTTATCCGTGAACCTAATATATTCCCTAAATAACCCACAGCAACGTGCAATCCTCATAATGTCTAGATTACCCTTTCGCATCCCAAAACAAGAACACGTAACCCATACATGACATATAACCCTCGAGAATCTCCATATAACAACATCTAATCCCTATATGACCATAATTTATCCTTATGAAGCCCTAAACCTTAATCCCCGAACCTTAAACCCTAAACCCTAAACCCTAGACCTTGCGAGTAAGATGAGGAGATTCGTAGCGCTGCAGAGTGTCAAACCTTGCTCGACTCGTTCCTCGGGTGGCTGTTTGAAGGTTTCAGGCCTTTAGGAACAGCTCCAAGTTATACCCCAATGCTAGGGTTACGTGAACTATAGTCTAAACTCCTTGAAGGGAGGTTATAAAGGGAGTATACAGGGGAGTACTATAGGGCTATTAAGGGGGATACCAGGAGTTAAGACTATAGTTCACACGGGCTTGCATTGCAAAATGGGGTTCATTGTAATGGGATGACAGTTCATCGGAAGTATAGCCGGTACTCAATTTTTAGGTATAAGAGCTACTGTGGGGGTCAGGATTTGGAGCGCGGGTTTTAAGAGTGAGGGCTTGGCCTTTGAGTTTTGAAGTTGCGGAGTTTGACGTTTGGGCATCGGGGTTCAGGGTGTAAGGTTACTTAGGTGCTAAGGACCCCCAACCCCCAAACCCTAAACCCTCAACCCACACATACTTAGGTCCCAAATAGCCATGTTATGAAGCTGCTAATCTGGGCCAAGAGGATCTGGAAGATGGATAGGGTTTAGGGATGAGGGTTCAGGTTCGATCCTTGGTCTCGCGAGCCTGAAATGCAAAAAAGGGGTTACATAAGGTTTAGGATTTGGAGTTGTTGAAGATTTTGCTTAATATACTTCAGGCTCTTCTAAGCTTACGGTGCCAGAAGAGCAGCAGGCTGCAGAAATCTACCTTCCCGCAAATTGAGAGACATCCGCTTAACAGTTTTGATTCTCGTTAAATGAGTTGTGGTCTTGGCAGTGTGTGTTTTGGGAGATTCTGTGTAAGTTGGGGACATATCCTTGTACATGTCTTTATGTATATGTACATGTACATATGAATATATGTGTGTGTATATGTATATGTATGTGTACATATGCACCGGGAAAGACTCATACTGAACCTGTATATTGGATCCTTTTAAGGTTCCCCTAATCCCTAAATTCCTAAACCCCAAACCCCACATCCGAAACCCTCAACCCCTAAACACCCCGAAGCTATAAACCCTAAACCCTAAGCCAAGAAACAGACACTGCAGGTTCGACGGCTTCTCCGAGGGCCTTGTTGTACGAAACTAGGACGCACAAAAGCGAGCAGGGGAGGCTACCAGGGTTTGATATTTCAAAAGCCTCAACCTTCAAAGTATTTAGAACCGTTGCCTTTGCTTACTGGTTCCTTGTCGGGAAGAAGGAAACACAATCCCTACATAATCCCCATATACTATAATCCCACGTTCCCTACTAAAAACCATCGCCTTTCTGCTTGTTTTGGTGCTGAAATTTAGCCTGCTCTTGCGGTCCAGGTAAAATCTCAACCCCAAAGCCTTCAACCTCGACTCTGTACTGTAAACCTTTAAGGTTTTGAGTTTATGGTTTGGCATTGGACAGACCCGATAATCTGCCTTATGGGCCCATATGCTTGACCCTGACTAGCAGGGACTAGCAAATGCAGCATCATTCCAGTTTGAGTTTAAGGGTTTAGGCGGTTTAGGGTAATGCTCTTTCAGCAATTCCGCCGCTTTTTCGGACTTGTTGAAAGGCAACCGGCCTTAACTGCAGCAGAAGCCCCAAGCGGTATCCCTCAAGCCCACACATCGCCTATGTGATCCACGGCAAACCGTCAGAATAGATTTTCATCACCCTAGACCCTAGCCCCTGAAATCCGATACATCCCTAACCCCAATGCCGCCGACATCACTGTGAAGAAGTCGTTGCACCCAACCGAGGGGATGCGCAGTACCGTCGGCAGAAGTGGAAGAGGAGAGAGCAACCAGGCCAAAGCAGGGTCGCCAGAGAGTCTTTACAGTATTTTGCAGATGGTAATACTTGCTAAGTCCGCCTGACCCTTAAAGTACTGCCGAATAGATCTCCTCGAGCATTGAGTGGCTGGGTTGTGTGGTAGTTTTCTCCAGTGTAAAGGCGGAGTCCTAAATCCGCAAACACGCTGGCTAGAATGCAAAGTGGCTTCCCCCACGAGGGTTTAAAGTTTAGGGAGCTGTGCTGCGAAGTCAGTGCATTGATGCTCACTTTATGGAGGAAATCTTGAAACCTTACACCGCCTAGAGCCTTTTGACTTGTTTTTTTTTTCCGGCTGTCTGGCGTACTTAGCGTGGCGCGAAATGTCCCCCACGAGTCTTATTCTCTGAATCCTTTCGGGAGACGCGATGTAATTCGGTTGGTTCTTGAGTGGATAATGCAGTACATGCTGTAGGCTTGGCCGAGGCGAGTAGAGTTGTAGAGTCCAGTGTGCCGGGTGCCTTGTAAGCCTTGTGCTGAGTGTTGCCCACTGCATACTGTCGAGGCGCTTAACACGGGCCTTGTCGATTTTGCATGTTCTGGGCTCATGGGTTCCTGGCAGTACGGGTTAAGGGTTTAGGGTTTAGGGTTCGGGAAAAGCCGGTGGCTATTGCTTACTGACTGCAGTTTGGGCAGTGGGTGGTGTACTTGTTTCTCCGTCTTGAGACCGCAAGGCCCTGTATTCTTTGAAGTCTTAGGTACTTGCTGATGCACTCTGCCCGCTTCCTCGTGGGTGCCGAGACACCCTGTCACTTGGTCGTCCATGCGAATAACTTAGAGCTTCTAAATGCTGAGTTTGCCAGTTAGGGTTTGGGGATTTAGGGCTCAGGGTTCGGAGAGTTAGCGCTCAGGGGTTTAGATCTTCAGCTTCGAGATTCAGAAGGTAGTCTCCTGAAGTTTTGGGATTCCGCGTGTGTTTTTTTGTACATACTGTATATTCTGCACGCTGGACCCTAATTAAACGCTTCATCAGACCCCTATGGACTCCAGTGCGGCTTTGGGTTTAGGTTTGCGGCATATAGGCTTTAGGGTTCAGGGTTTAGGGCAGGTGTGGCTCAATGAACTCGAGGGTCGGCAGTGTGTTCGGGCAACGCCCTTCGTGCATATGTAGTCTTGATATCCATGCAGAGACCCACTTTTGGCCCACTGCTTTTGGTTGTATGGCCATCACGATGAGATTCAGCAATTCAAGAGGGGATTGTGGGCGACATGGCATCATAGTCAGCTTTTCGCTAATGTCTGAAACCTGGCATGAGCTCTACTTGGATTTTGCAGGCCTTTCAGCTTTCTTGTGCTTGCTTGTGCTTGCTTCTGCGTTGCAGCGAGGCCCCCAGCTTGACAGGATTCAGTTCTGGGTTCAGAAAGGGTAAAGGGTTTAGGGTTTAGGGTTCAGGGTTTGGGGTTCACGGGGGGTTCAGGGACTAGCGGCCATATTTTTAGGCACGATCACCAAGGTTGAGCTTGTATTTTTTTGTAAATTCCTTTCATATGAGCTGTAGTCTAGACTCTTAAAAGGGGTTATACAGGGGACTACTATGGAGGTCATTACGGGGATACTAGGAGCTTAGACTATAGCTCATATTGCAGCAAATGAGAACCTATCCATGACAACTTTTTGGGGGGCCTTCAAGCCATGTGAGGAGCCATAGATTGATTCTTCATGAGGCCGAAACCCAAAAACAGCAACCGTCAACCCCCAAACCTAAAACCCAGACGCTACACCCTAAAGCTTAGGCGCCCCTAAACCCACAAGTTCAGCCCAGGCTATGCCTGGGTAGCCAGAAGTAGTGAACCTGGAACCATGGATGCTGATCGCTTGTGTCTCAATGTCCCTTGGCTGCGCAAGAGTGTAGATGGGCAGTGTATGGGGAAGTGTAATGGAGTGTTGGAGGGTAATCACTTCTACGATTTTTTCCGATGACGAACCTTAGTAAGATGTTTCTTGTTTCCCAAAGTTTCTTCTAGGATCCCCATGACCCAACATTTTTCCGGCAGCCAGGCCGCATGTTCGAAGACCGCATCCTGCGTTTTGCAACAAAAAAACAGCTTGGGGCCGGCGTGTATCGATTTTGGAGGCCACTGCTGTTTCAGAGCCCATTCTGAACAGATGTATGTATGTATGTATGTATGTATGTATGTATGTGTGCGTACCGAGTCCTGTGTGTAGCCCCCAAATAACTCCTATGTAACCCTGAGTCAGCGAAGTGAAGGCAAGTGACAGACTAAGGCAGGCCTAGGTTATAGCCAGGTCGCAGGGGTCTCCATGATAAGGACTGTAGTATTTTGGGGTCTGCATTGAGGACCCCCTATTTTGGGACATTACCGAATCCTCTCGCACTTTCTTGCCCGGAGAATCCCCAAAGAGTAACCACGAATGGGGATTTCCAAAAATTAGGGCTGCCATCTCGGATGTCAAATACGAAGGTTTAACAAATTGGTCTGAGTTGTGTTTCGCTCAGGTGTGGCTCAGATCTGAGTCTTCGGAGTTTGCAGCGTACTTCCCGGAGGCTGGACTTTTGGAGAAGGGGGAGTTTGGGGTTCAGGAGTTCAGAGTTTACGGGGTCTGTAGGATCTAGAGATTTGAATCCGGGGAGTTGGGGCTTGCATCTGGAGGCTGCGGGCTGGAGGCACGTCAGAGAGTCCTTCTTCAACAAAAGCTAGTCCCTAGCGAAGGGGTCATAATCATCAGCACATGCAGGGGCCCTGTCAGTGGTGGTTCAGGGTTTGGGGTTCAGGGGCTTGAAAGTTTCCATGTTCTGGAGTGTAAGCTTTAGGGGCTTCGGCTGATGTCTTTCACTGTTCGTTGGGCCCTTTACTGTGGTCCGCGCGCAGAGGGCTGCTTTGTTTTGAGAACTTGCCAGGGGATCTGCATGGCAAAGCTCCTGCATTGGAGGTGGGTATAAACGGTACACCCATGTCATGCGGTCGCAAGGGAATCAGCCCTGAAGCCTAAATCCTGGACATCCTTGCACTTTCTTGCATGTGTAGCCAGTGATTCAGAGCAACATAATCTGAAAACCCCGTGCTTGGCTATGGTTTTCAGTAGAGTCTGTCCGAAAGTTAAGCCTAAGCTAGGTGGGAACGAAGGGCGCCAAAACCCTTCTAGAACCTGCCCAGCACAGATCTCCAGACCATAGAAGCCCCAGACCTTCGTAAACCATACTTGAAGGGTCAGTGGATTTGGTAAGTAGTTATTACGGCGGATAGCTAGCGTCTAGGCAATCATAAGTATAGTATATTTCACAAGTCCCCACACCCTGAACCCTTAACCCTATACTTACTACGCCCCCGCTGAGCCTAAACGCCAGTGGAACCCTAAACCCTAAACACTGTACTGACCAAGTCCCTTTGACCCTTGTGCCTAGCTTTGGGAGCTGGCCAAATATTGTATTAGGAACCCTGATAGTCTGACTGAATGTCCATCAATCCCTAATCCCTAAACCTAAACCATGAAGCCTAATCCCTAAAGCCTAATCCCTAAAGCCTAATCCCTAAAGCCAAATCCCTAAACCCTAATCCCTAAAGCCTAATCCCTAAACCCTACTCTCTAGACCCTAAAATTTGCCCTAAAACCCTAAACCAAGAGCCCCTGGGCTGCTGAAGTGACTGTCATGCAAGGCCATGAGGCGCTATGGATGCGTCCGAGCACTTCTGGAGGAGGAAGGCCACCTGCCTTCCCCTAAGGGTCCAAGGACCCAAATAACAAGGTTTTAGGGCCAAAATACTATACTATTAATGGTATTTGGGCCCTAAAACCCTATTATTTAGGTCCTTGGACCCCTAAACCCTAAACCCCAAACCCTGTATATCCCCCTATAAACCCCTTTAAAGGGAACCCTATTATTTGGGTCCTTGGACCCTTAGGGTTCCTTGTGGGGGTTTAGGGCTTTAGCACCCCACGAGCTCCAATACATTCTGGAGGATCGTCCAGAGGATGCCGATGCAGGTGGTAGGGTTTAGGGTTTGGGGTTTTAGGGTTTGGGGTTCAGGGTTTTAGGGTTTGGGTTTTTAGGTTTAGGGCTTTAGGGTTGTGGGGTGCTAGGGGTTTAGGGTTGTAGGGCTTAGGGCTTTATAGGGTTTAGGGCTTTAGGGTTGTGGGGCACTAGGGATTTTAGAGTTTAGGGCTTTGGTTTTAGGGTGTTAGGGCTTCGTAGGGTTCAGGGCTTATAGCGTTTACGCGACTTCAGGGTGATACAGTTCTGGGCTTAATTGGGATTTTCGAGGCTTAGGATTTGGGATTTCCGGTTTGGGTTTGGTCATGGGATCTCGGGCTTGCTTTGGTATTAATTCTTGGATTTAGGTGTGGGGGCCTAGGGGTGGATGCAGAGCGCAGGGTGTAATTCCGGCAACAGTTGTAGATTTAGGGCTTTGGTTGCCAGGCTCAGGTGTCCTTCAATTTCCTGAGTCCAGAAGGGGATAGAAGGCTATTCAAACTGGTATTACAGTCCTGCATACATGGTCGTATCAAGAATGGCCTGTTGCGCCACGTGCTGCTCCGATGTAGAATCCAATGGTTAACAAGAGCCCGGTGGTCATATCAGTATCAATCTGGCTAGGTAGCGCAACTTCTGCTTGGAACGTGGGAGGCGCGAGGGAGTCGAATCATAGGGGGGGAGGGCAAGAAAGGAGGCTTGAGAGGGAGGGGGGCAGACAGAAAAGGATGCAAAAAAGTGTTGAGCTGCAGGGCACACAAAGACAAGCTCTTCTGAATATGGCGAGATGTGTGGGCAGCTCAGAGTCCCAACACACGGTCCGCCTGCGAGCCGCAGCATGCGTGCTAGGAGGCCTCTCAAGTTTTGCTCAGGTGGGCTAGTACTCCTAGTACGTATCCCCCGTAACAACCGCAATAATACTTCCCTAGAAAGTCCGCCATATAACCCCGATGAGGCAGTTTGGATTATAGCTGAGGTGGATTAAGAAAAGCGTCGCCCAATCCATAAGACTTGCCTGAGCGCCCCCTTCCCGGGCTCTCAAAACTTGGAAGACATCAGGATTCTGCGAAGGCCTTGGCCCAGATCTGCGCGCTCGAGATGCCACTGGGTCCGTCTTCAAGTGTTGTCAGGGTTGCAGGCTTAATTAGGTCTGGTGTCCCCGTGTATCAAGCCCAACTGCGCCACCGGAGGTTGGGATGTAGGAAATGTACGCAAGCGAGGGTGCTCGAGGGATGCAGAACAATTTTCAACACGGCCCAATGGCTCTCAAACTCTAGTGCGAAGACTTCCCGAATTTCCTCGAGGACTAGGAACAGGGCGTCTGTAAAATCGCATAGGGTTTAGAATTTATGGCTTTCGGATCTGGGGTTTGGGATCGAGGGCATGCTCCTCTTACCTACAAGTTTGGAGAGTTTCTCCTTGCACCCTGGTCTTTTCCACTTTTTGGAGAGCCTCCTGAGACGATCTGAAGGTTGTGCCCTGAAAATCTCCGAGCATGACACTCAAAGCACGTTGTTGGCCGTCACTGCGCTTGGATACCCGTGTCCCAAAATGTTCCCAAAGTTGAGACTACAAGGGAAGCTTACATCCCAATATGACCCCAATATAACCCTAAACCCTAAGCTAGTAGTTTCCAGTTTCTTTTCCATTATCCCAATATCACCCTAACATGTCCACAGGAGCCTAGCCAACCCTAACACATCCGCCAAACCACGGAAAACTGCTGGGCCAGGGTTGAATCAAATGCTGAACCTCATGAAGTTTCTTGACCCTTGTAGCCAGAAGCAGAAACAAACAGAACAATGCAGAAACCAACATATGCCTTAGCTTCTGCAGCTCCAGAAGGTGTGGGTTATGAGATTCGGTTCACAGTTTAAGGGCTTGTCTTTCATGAGGACGCTCAAGCGAAGTTTAACAAGTTTACTAGACACTCACTGCTGAGCCTTACCCATCCAGAACGCCCTAGACTGAGAAAAACACAACAAGCCCCAAGACCAACTCGTTTTGGGTTTCAGGTAGTGCCCAACAGGAGCTCCACACCCCAAGCTCCAAATCCTAGATCCTGGAAAGCCTTAAACCCTGAGCCTTAAATGTTAAGCAATGCCCCCTGAACCCTTGAACTAGGCCATGGGCTGCTTTGTCCACGAAGCAGTACTGTGGGAGCGATTGAAAGCTGCGCTGGACCCAAAACTGTCCGTGAATGCTTCAAGTTGGCTTGCAGGTTTCTGAGGGGAGCGTTTACCTTACTTGTGCTTAGTAGGGCGTAAGGGAATATAATCCCTATATCCCCATATAGCCCATATAGAATCTCGACATAATCCATTATTTCAGATAATCCCTATATAACACATTCCCTTCTTCCCTATGAATCCCCAGTAAGTAACCTGCCCTAAGGTTGCCAGAGTGCGGATGAGAGCTTCAGGGGCATGGTAGGATAGGGGATTTAACTTACTGAGGTTAGTTGGGAGTGCATAATACATTATCTAGGGATTGCATATGTGTTATATTTTGGATATTGCCCCACTCATCAGCAGTTGGGTAATATTTGTAATGTAACTTTACAGGTCGACTATTAATGGGTGGGGGGTAGGACCCAAAGTATATTCCCTTAATCCCTGCGAACCACCAGTAAGTTAAGCACCCTAAGTCCTAAACCCTAAACATAAATCCTTACCAACCACCAGTCAGTTAAACATGCGTCTTGGAGCGGCTCTTGGGAGATTTGCTTCTTTAAAGAGGTGCTGCAGGCCGGATGGGAATAGATTAATCCTATAGTCCCCGTTGAGTAGATAGTATATGGAATCGCCCAAGAGTGACAATAGGATTTCTCTGTACCCCATATTCTATCTACTTGAGGGGGCCTGTGCTCACTAGAGCTCCCAACCCTCCGCCCCCCTCCCCCCCACCTCCCCACCACCCAAAAAAGGGAAAACCATAATTTTAAACGACAAAAAAGCCTAAGCCTTAAATACCGAACCTATTGGATTGAGTAGCAGGGACTACTGTAGGGATCCGGTCCTTTGACATCCACCAAGCACTTGGGAGAAATCCTCGGGCGCTTCCCTTTTGTTAAGCCCAGTTTACGTAGTAATGTTGACCCTCTTATCTGAACTCCAGAAGCCGTGCTAGTATATCTACTTCTGCAGGATTTTGTCCATCAAATGAAGCATTGTACGAATGCAGGGTGGGCGGGGTGGTTCCTGAGTTACTTTCAAAATATGCATGAGCCGCCACCAATAAAAGCCCCTATGCAGGCAAGAGTCCTTGTTGATCACGTGCTTTACTGGGCCGAAGGCTAGTGCGGGATATGGTAGGGCTTCGGACGTTGAATGCAGTTTCTGGCATTCAGAAGTGACAGGACTGCTCCGATAGTTTAGGCTTCCACGGACCACGAAAAAAGATTGATGAAGTATGTTACTACTGGGGAGCACTGGAGAAATTATGTGGCTTTTAAGGGTCCACACAGTGGCGTAAGTAGAAAACGGTTTCACAACTGCTGAAATTCAGGCTTTTGGAAACATTGTAATTCACCGTTTTATCGCAGTTCATGGTGTATATGGTAGGTTCTAGTGTTGTTAATGTGTGTGTATATATACACATGTATATATACATATATGTATGCCATTTCATATAAGAATAGAGGATTTTGCTAACTCGCCTAATTCTTGGACATTTTTCATCGTATATAGTTTCATACTGCAATCTAGGATGTTGCACCTCAGCGGCATGCTGACTGCCAGGGCCGACGATTGGATTTCGACATCCGCACCCTGACGAAGGAGATTGCTGCCAACAAGGCCTTCTAATTGGACTATTATAATAACACCTCCAGCCATTCTACTACCTTTCTTATTCATTTTTCTGAGCTCTTGTTGTTTTTCTGTTGGTTTCTCTCTCCCTCTCTCCCTCGTTGGCGTCTGTCTGATAGTTGCTACTGTCCTGCTGCCACTATTGACAAAACCACTGCTGCTTCTGTTACTACATGTACTGGTACTAGTATCAGTAGTAGTAGGATTAGTATTCCGAGTACTAGTGCTCGTAGCACTGTGACGGCCAGGCCCACCACCACCACCACTGCTGCTTTACTATCTCTGCGCAGCAGACTATCCAGTCAAGGGGATAGTAGAGCTTTTCCACAGGTTGCTTTGGAAGTTCAACGATCGTTGCCATCCGTCGTTGAGGTGTTTCTCATCATGAGGTAGGATGAGAGGACTAAGGAAAATCATATAGTAGAGCAAGACACCATCAACAGCAGCTTGACCTCAAAACAGTTAAGTAGTTCCCTGCAATATGCTGCCCGAAACGGCAAGGCCTAAAGCCGTAAGCCTCAAAGCCGAAACCCAACAGACAAATCCTGGACCACCCTACCTGAACCTCACACAACCCTTGACTTTGTCCATACGGGTATGTGCCGCGTGGAAAGAGGACCTATAGCCCTAAAAGGGTGCGTGCCGTAGGGTCCAGGTAGACAAAAGTCCTAAACCCTAAAGATTAAACTTGCTTCGTATTACTATTAGTACTGTTACTATTTCTGCTGCTATTCTTATAGCTGCTACTGTTCTTTGTCAGGCCACGCTGGCAACGGCCGCTGCCTTGCGAAAAGATCAGGTCGATGCCTTCACCAAGGATGAGACGCAACTGAGCAGCATGAAATTTGGTTCAGGGTTTAGGGCCTAGGGGTTTTGGGTTTAGGGCTTCGGGTTTAGGGCTTGGAGTTTGGGCTTGGGGTTCA